TACTTTGACTGACATTTATTCCGTCATGCAAAGCTGTACTGAAATTAATTTTATACCATTTTTTGGGGACAGATAGAGCTTTATTTTGGTGGTATTTAATCACCACTGGGGTTTTTTTTTTAAATATATTAAGGAAATATTACAGAATTTTTTTTTTTTAAACTGTTTCTCTTGTACTAAATTCTAAAACATTTATTATTACCCAATTTTTTGGTAAAACATAAAAGACTGGGTCACGTCGGGTAAAAAGACACCAAACATGTCAAGCCTTAAAATTGCGCAACGCGAAACCTCAAAAAGCTACATTACCCAAAATTGGCCCTAGGCAACACTTTAAAAGCTTTTAGCGCTCATCAGTTTAGTGTTATCAGTGATTGATGGCCCTAAAATGATTGGTCTCACTCCGATGTTCGCGGTGATATGTAACATGTGTAGTGCAATTGTTGTTTTCGCGCACTGGCGCATCTGATGCATGTTTACGTTTATTTGTGCGTAAACGTGGTGGTGGAGGACTTAAGCATTTTGGTTTGTTTTTTTAAAACTTTTTTTATATGTGACTTCTATTTTTTTAATTTATATATATATATATATATATTATTTTTTTTACACTTATTTTTATTGCTATTACATAGGGCGATAACAATCCCCCTATATAAGCAAAGGCACACTGACAGGTCCTCTTTTTGGAGACATCAGGGGTCTCTAGGACCCCAAATGTCACCTGGGGACCCCAAAAGAAGCTGATGAAGCAGGGATCTGCTTCATCAGCTTCTTTTCTCTGGCTATAGCAGCCAGATGACTGACAGGTGAATGCGGAAGTGATGTAATACACATCACTTCTGCATTCACAGCACGGAGGGAGATCAGCAAGGGAGAAGATGCTGATCTCCCTCCCATCTTACCTCTTGATGCCCTCCCGAGCCGGTCCCGGGTCGCAGATGGGGCAGTGGATCCTAGGATTGAAAGTAAGTGGGGGGGCACTGGCGGAGTTCTCGACGGATTGGGGGGGTGGGCAAATCGCAACATACAACCGATCAGCAGGCTTCAGAGCTGCTGATCGGTTGTATGTGAAAAAGCCGGAAACGGCTGTAAAGAACGGGTGATTTTCTTCTGCACGTGCGCGCTCGCAAATGCGAGTCTGCCATCCATCCGTTTTTCCACAACGGGCGGATGGCAAGTGGTTAAACACATCTCTGAACTCCTGCCTGGTATGCGGTATCAGCCCTGTCTACCTCATTTGTAATGGATTACAAAAAGACAGTTTTCTCCACATCTCCACCCCCGGTCCTTAGCTTCATAATCCTCCAGAACAGGATGTTATCAGCTCACATGTCTTATAGCAAAATCAACAGGTATTTTTGCATTTATTGAACAGATATAATAAAACACTTTCGATAATATATTTAACAGACCAAAAGGGAGCAAATAAGAGAAGTTCATCTTTACCTACACTTTAAACAAAAAACAGAGATCCTCAGAGGAATTAATGATCCAATGATCCAAAATGAGATTCCTGTTACCAGCACTGTTTAACGTCCAAATGGCTGGGACAGGATCTGTGTTGAGCTCAGTGGGAGTGACGGGGATCCTCTTGTGCACTGTGCATTGGAATCATTACAGGTACAAGCTATGAAGAGAGTCATGGAAGGTCTGGTAGGATACATATTAATGGTGCTGAATTTTGAGAATATCTGGAAGTTTACTTTTTGTATTTCATTGGCTTGAAATTGTCAAATTTAGAACATAAGAGATCACTTTGATTTTTTTTTTTTGTTCTGCAATAAAAATAAAATCCAATCAATTGATCTTTATATGGCTACACACATTTTATCATTATTTTAGTGGTTGCACAGTGTTTTGACCTATGTGCCTAGGTACTTTTTCTGCCTAGATGTAAATAAACAATTTCCATTTACACCAGGAGACCAAAGAGTTCAATCTGCTGCTTGTCCTCTGTATTTATAAGCCAGGAGTGCACAGAATCAAGACCTTGACTTTCAGGACAGTTCTTAATTAGGAATTTGGACACATTCACCTGCACCAGTTATTGGAAATCAATAATGTACATAAGCAGCAAAATAATCTGGCATTTTATGTAAATGTAAAACAAGCCAAAATTGTTCTAATTGCTTTTATAACTACAGGCAAATTATTTTGAAAGGCATTTATTAAAAGCCCAAATTAATATGTTGTGTTTCATGGAATGTAACTGTTAAGGAACGCACTTATGTCAGTGTGATACTTGAGTCTTTAAGGTAGTTCTCAGAGTTCAGATAAAATTGCACTTCAATTCAATTTATTGACATTACAGAGACAGAAGATGTATCTTTCATGTCTCCAGGGATCACCCCTGTTCTAGGCTCACTTTCAGACCTGTAAATGACCTTGCTGTACTTTCATGCAATGTGCCTGGAGTTAACGGCATAGTTAAACTAGTGTTTCTGTAAAGCTGGCCATACAGTGCAGAGTCAGCAGGAGCAGTGTGAGACCCCCTCATGATGCCCCATTTGACAAAAGTCAATTTTTCAATCAAGTTTTGTCCAATGACCTGGTCCAGAAATTCTTGGCCAAACACGTACTGCAGCCACTTAGTCACAGGCTGGGGGAGCTGCCAAGACCTAAATATCCCATTGTTGCAAAGAAAAGTCAGATATTCTGCCTTGCAAGACATAGCTGATCTAGATGGCAGAGAACTGAATGGAAAGAAATAAAGATTATTTGGCTGGTAAAAAAAAGCTCCATTGTATGTATTGTATCTGTATATTTATCTGTTTGCCTGGAATTCAGTTTTAATAAATAACATAGGATTCCCAGAGCCCTATTGGTTATCTAAATAGATAACATGGCAAAAGATTGTCTGCCACAGGCTTGCTTTGCCACATTGAAACTTTGAGTAGAGCTGTTCAGAGGGAATGGTGAGTGAGGGGGATACAACTAGCAATACATGTTTAGACTTCCGCAAGACTGAACAAGAGAAATCAATCAACCCCTCCCCCATCCAAACTAAACAGTGTGGATGGAGGATTCTCCCCCGCCTGCTATGGTTTTTAGACAGCTGGCACCCGCAGCTATTTGTTCAACCAACAATATGACTCCCAACACTTTTGACTTTGTAGAGTCGGGCGGTGTTGACAGGTCCACCCATGGCTTAAATATGGCCAGCTTAAGTCACTACTCTGACTCATTTACTTGTGTATAAATTTTATATTAAACTACTGAGCTCGGTAATCAGCAGGCTTCTGTAATCAGAAAGTGGAAAAGCAGCTAAAAGCCCTACGTGCTGGGTAGAAATTATATTATTAATACGCAACATGACATATTAACTGACTAATACTGAAAATAAAATAAAAACACAATTTTTTAAAACTTACCATTATAATGAAATAAAGTATATACAAAACCACTATTCCTTCCCTTCAAGCGGCCTCGTTCAATTTATTGGTGCAGGAATGACCTTGGCATGTATCACATTGATTTTGCAGTACAAGGTGCTATCTATATTTGTGTGAGGTGGGGAAGGTGCTAGATACAGTTTAAAATAAATTATTTATGAAATAAAAATAAATTGTGTATTTTTTAACTGTAAACTTTATGTCAGTCAGTTTTATTTGTCTTGTTAAAGTACAATATTCATAAGATAAATGCTGTATGGCTTGCCACTACTGCCCTCTTGAAAGTTGTAGTTGCCTAGCTGTGCCCGGCTCCATGACTTCTGAGTCATGGACCCAGGATAAGCACGCAGTAAATGAAAGAGCTTCTTCTGCATTTACTTGATGTCTGTCAGTGATTTAGGAAATACTAAAGCCAAGGCAACAGCATAACAGCCAAGCAACTAGCATTCTCACATAAAAACACCCAACCAGTTCTCATCTTAATAGTTCCATGTCAAACATTGAGCCATAGAATATCATAATTTGAAGGGGCTTTTCTCTGCCTGAGGCAACTTCACATCCTGGCCTCACATTCACCTCATGTAATGGGACATGTACACCAAAAGTGCACCTGCTCTCTCCTTCTTTGCGGGATGTTGGACAATGAGCTAAACTCAGGAACATTCAAGCACAGGAAAAGTGATCTGCAAATCATAAAAGTTGTTTATACTTCCCAAATAACTTCCCCTGTGTTTAATGCAGGTCCATGTGCATAGGGCCTAAATGGTCGTAGGATGCTGAAAATGTATGTTTGTATAAACGCAACTATACTGAATGCTCCTAGACCAGCATTTCTCAACCAGGGTGCCATGGCACGCTGGGTTGTCTTCTGGCTTTGTCAAGGGTACCTACAAATTTTTTGGCAAAATGGTCATGCATTTCCTTGGTGTAGGAGAGCCAGCCACCAGCACCATCAAAACTCATGATGCTAATCCAGGACGGGCTGCATCCAATACCTCACCCAGCATTCAGAAGACAACAGAAGTCCAGAATTACTCCACCTCCCACTTTCTTCCATGCTGCTGCAGGCTGCACTTTGGAGGAGGTGGCAAGTACTCTGATAAGAGGGGGGTGCTCTTGATGTGAAAGGGGAACTCTGATGTTATAGATTTTGGGGAAACCACATGTAATTTTTTTACATTTAGGTTATATAGATATTTTAGACTGGGGTGCCTCAAGATTTTGCATACTTTTAAAGAGTGCCATGACTAGGGTTGCCACCTTTTTTTCAAGCGAAACCTGAACAATAGCGACACGCAGACTTTATTTGGGGAGAATGAGTCGCGGCTTATTCATATGTAAATAGCGCCGCCCATTCATATGTAAATATCACAGTTGAGACTATTTTCAATATGGAGGGGCTGTAATTTTGGTTGCCTCTGTCTGCCTGACATCATGTGTCCGGGTTTCTGCTGCCATGAAACTCGGACACAGCATTCAAAACCTTGACTGTCCGGGTGAATCCCGGACAGGTGGCAATCCTAGCCATTACATGATTCCAGGTGTATTTACAAATGAGTTTCAAAAGCACCTGGAAGCATTTATTTTAATTCCAGTGTGCATGAGGCCTAACTCTGAATGTTCATATGCAATAGTTGTAATGTTTTTTGCCATGACTTTCATGCACAGGGAAACAGAAAAAGGTTGCAGATGAAAACTCTGTGGTGTAAAGTACACACTGCAATTTTAATTAATACTCAAATACAGATGATACATTTTTCTTTTTAGCATAGGGAGCACACTTTATGACCTGCATTTACTCTCAAACTATACCAACTAGAGTTTAGGAGGTAGAAATTAGAGAGAAGCTAACCTCCACCAATCCCAAACACATGAGTCAGAAGACAAATGTTCATGGAAAATTATGGCTCCATCTGAAATTAAAAAAATATATTTCCAAGTACATAATCCATTTGGCGATGTAGTAGAAACAGGATGACATGTACATTGCTGTGCTGTTTGATTAACCTTGATTCAGTTCAAGCAAGTAGCTTGCATCAACTGGGAGAACAGAAGGTTTGTACAAAACACTATACTGGGAGCACGCTGTAGGGCATGTTATAATTAATGTTTCATAGAGTGTCCTCATATCGTACACAAGTGTAGTTGACTGCTGTAGACCTCAGAGGCAGCTATTGCCTAGGCCATTCATCCTGAAGTCTGGGTTGTTTAAGTTACCATTGCAAGACTGTAACATCTGTAGGTCCTGATTTAAAACAATCATCTTTTTGGCACGAAATGAAGACATTGAACAGTGAAAGGACCCAGTGACTGAGGAGCTTGTGTCAGGGTCTGATGTCCTTCCACCTCTGCAATATCGCTGAAGACTTTTCCGAAAGTGTATGGTGAATAGTCCATAAGTAATAGGGTCCAGGCATGCATTGACTAGACCAAAGATGAAAAGAATGTGTGTAAGGGACTGTGACACCTTGCCCTCCATTGTTTCAGGGTAGAACCAGTACCACAAGCCCAGGAGATAGTATGGTGTCCAGCAGATGATGAAGGAGCTGACTATGACAACACTCATCTTTAGAGTCCTCATCCGTGCCTTTGGAATGTTATTTTTGGAGCGTCGCAAGTAAACTTCCTTAGAGGAAACTAGAATGAAGGAAAGAAAATAACAGTAAAAGCAGAATCATTTACCCCAATTGCAAACAATCCGGATACCAGCACAAGAAAGAAGGGACATTCCTACTTATAAGTAATAATTCTGTGAAATAACAAGAAAACATTTTTTTTTTCTTTTCACTCTGTTTTCACTACACATGCACTGTTGCTGTTTGCTATGTTGGCCAGGTAATAGTGAAAAAAAATAATGAACAGATTCCTATACATGCTATACATGCTCCCTGGTGACCTAAATTTCACACCAATTTTAACTTGACAGTGCTCTATTTAAACCCAGGGGAATTACCATGCAATCAGCAAGGGTATATGCACTGGAGGGGAAGGTTAACCTGCGATCTTCCATTTTATAAGCTGCAGGGTACCCTACCGGATACCCACACCTAATCTTTTATTTGATTAGTCTCAGTCTTTTTTGACAAAATAGTGAAGAAATGATTTGCGATGTTATACATTACATGAAGATTGTTCCCTGAAAAATCTACCTTTTGTCTAGAATTCCTTCTGAAAAATAGCAGTGCACTTCCTGGTATGTGAAAATGCTTAGCACAGCGTGCCCATAGCCTCATAGCTGTATATCTTCAGGGAGAGATTTACAGCTCTGCTGCCTCCGACTCCTAGCCTCAGGAGATTTGGTTGAGATTTGGTAATTTTACTACTGTGCTGCTTGCTGTTTTTCCTGCTGGAGGCTCTGACATGAGGAAGCAAACCTCTGCCTCTACCAAGATGTCCACCTCCACACAGAGACAGTGCAGACAGGGTAAGCCAGCAATGGAGCAAAGATCAGCTGCAGGAAGACCACAGCCAATATTGGTGACTAGTCCTTTGACTCTCCCTGTGTTATTTTATGCACAACTTTTACAGATCAATTCCTCTTTACCATGCTTGATAACTAAATACATGAAATATTTATTTCATGCAAAACAAAAATGTAATAAATGAACTCACATCTATGTTTCTAAATAGTGAGATTAGTCCCTGGATGGACCATTGCTGAACAGGGGCAAGTGGTTGAAAACTATTGTACAGTATATTATTATGTCAGTAGACTGCGGCACTGCATTCAAATATCCATTTCATTTCTAAAAAATGCACAAGACCAAATGACCTGACTGCTGCATTAGGAATATGATCAATGCGTAGAAAATCTTTAGACAGTACTGATATTTTTAGAAAAATATTTTGTACAGAACAAAACCTGTCAATACCACAAGCTAGAGGTGTACAGGATATGATTATTGTAATATGTGTCATTAATGCCACAGAAGTAAACAAATTGACTATGTATGCATTCAAACACGGTTGAGTCTTTCAGTGTACAACCTTTCATTACTATGTACATCCTATGTATGACACTTAATTCAAAAATAAAGTCCAGAGACAAATCAAAATTCAAACTCATTCACTTGCAATGGGGATCAATAGCTTCAGCTTCGGCCTCAGAACCAGCGTGAAGCCTGAGCAACAAATTATCTCTTAACAACCATAGCCATTCCTTATGATTAATTGGTATGTTTTGTATGTGCATTGCAATGTGAAGATTGATATGAATTCCCTTGTGTTTAAAAGATTTTCAAGAGCAGCTCATTAGTACAATGCTGTATGTAGTTTTTTGGAGGTAGAAGGAATAAAGACTGTGAATGTTCGCTTTCCATTGTGTATGTTCGCTAAGTGAATAGTCTCTATTCCATAAGTAAATCAACCCTTCAGTAGATGCCTCCTACCTTTCCCAAAAGGGAAAGAGGGACACCTTCCAACACAAAGTATTTAGGCAATGGATACACTCCTGTCATTTTCCAAGTTATATGGACCATTAAAAATGTATATGCCAAAATGGATTGGATAAACCCAGAAATGTCATTTTCCACCATTACTTTTCCTTTATACTGGATAATTAAGAGATAAGTTGAAGGTTCTAGTGAAGCAGAGGATAACATTTTGGTAGTTAAATAGAACCTTTTCATAGGTATCTGTACATTATATTAAAAAGAGGGACAACTGAGGAGGGAAGAGGGACAGAGGGTCTTGGGTCCAAATGAGGGCCAGTTCCTCCAAATCAGGTACAGTTGGGAGGTATGTCAGTCTGTGTATTCAAAAACTATATATTTTTTATAAAGCCATATACAGTTGTAGGTATATAGAAATAACTTACGTGTTCCCTTGCTCATCCGCTTGGATATCTCCAGTAGGATCCGCGAGTAGCAGTAGATCATGATGAGCAGAGGAAGAAGGAACAAGCAAACAAAGCTCACCATGTTGTAAAGGGTCTCCTGCCAGTGCTCCTGGAAGCTGCCTTTGGTGGTACACTGGGTGAAGTTTTGTGGCTCTGTGATCGTAACTGTATGAAACAGAAACAGCTGGAAGGATAAAAGAGACCAGTGAGCTGTCCCATGTCATTTATAAAGCAGTATCTTTCTTTTTAAAGGGAAATGTTCTCTTCAACCAAAATGTTTCATCAATGTGTTCTATAAACATTTTAACATCATGCACGGTTATTTACAAAAAGAGTGAAGAGTTTGGAGAAGGCAGGAGAAGGCAACAATCTAGGACAACATAGCTGAACTGGAAAGTGAGCAGAATGGGAGAATTTTTCCAAATCAGCTATGTTGTCCTAGATTGTTCCCTGCTCTTCCCTTCTCCAAACTTCACCCTTTAGTTAATAACCCTTATAGAGTTTTTCATACATGGAATGCTCAAATACCCATTTTCACTCAGGACCAGGAAAGCTTGACCTTCCAAAGAAAAATATAAAGCTGGCCACACACTTGGAGGGTTAGTCACAAAAGAGCTGAAAGATCTAGCCGCAGCTTCGTTTGTTGCGTTTTTTAATTCAATTAAAGGATTTTTTCTAAAAGTCTGGCCACTTTTTAAAAATGTTTTAATTTAACTCTTTAGATTAAAACATTACATCACAAGGGGGGGCCGTATGGGGATGCCCCTTTTTTAAAGGGGTAGCCTGTTGTGTATAAGCCCCCCTGCCCACACCCCCACAACCAACGCCCCAGGGCTTGTAGGGAAGAGGCCCTTGTCGCCATCGGCACAGGGACAAGGTGCTTTTCAAGGGGCGACCCTATAAAAGAACCCTCCCTGTGCCGAGGGCATGTTGCCTGGTATGGCGGGGGGTGCTCACTTGTCCCCCCCCTTTCCTGCCCTGCCAGGCTTGTGCTCCGATCAATGGTCTGGTTGGGAATTTTAGGGGGGACCCATGTTTTTCCCCCCCATTTTTGGGGGCGGGGTTCCTTCTTACAATTCCTACCAGACCGTAAGGGCCTGGTATGACTTTGGGGGGGAACCGCACACACTTTTTTTTTACATTTTAACTTGGGGTCCCTCCTTAAATTCCTTCCAGACCTAAAGGGCCTGGTATGGCGTTTCATGGGAACCCCACGCTTTTTTTTAAAATGGGGGTCCATCCTAACTTTCCTACCAGACCTAAAGGGTCTGGTATGGTTTGGGAGGGGAGACCCCACACTAGATTTGATCATTTCTTATACGAAGGATGCCTAATATATAAGGAAATGCTTTGATTCCCAAACAATTATTCTATTGGGCATGTTTATTGAAGCAAGGGAATTCTTTTTTTTACTATTAAGACCAATACAAGTCTCTCTCGAAAAAACTCCCTGTTAATGAAATTTTCATTAAAGTAAGCCAGCTACGAGAATAAGATAGGGCTGCCATTGCTGACCTCCTAAAAATGCTGGTTGCCTGGCTGTTAGTTCATACAGTCTGAATCACTAACCTGGACAAATATTTTAATCAGAAAAGCCACAGAAAATTAATCTGTACCAGTCTGCATGCTTGTTTTAGATCAGTGTCTCAAAGTATTACGGCATGAGGGTCAATGTGACAGCCAAGCATCTAGTATTTTGAAAGGAGAGCACACCAATGTCAGTCGCATGTTTCTATCATGACCAGCATATTCATATCTCTCTCTCTCTCGATATTTATATATATATATATATATATTAGATAGATAGATAGATAGATAGATAGATAGATAGATAGATAGATAGATAGACAGATAGATAGATATCATTATGAGTGTAACAGTTTGCCTGAAGTTTGAGTAAAGGAAATCAGATGGAAATTAAGTTGATTAATATTGATTCATATTTTACATTTGAATTTTTAATTTAATGAATCAAATGAATCAGTTACTATCTTGCAGTGTGTAGTTTGCTAAAAATAATTTAAGTGTAAGTCATGGTACAAGAAAACAAACATATATAGTACATCTTTGCAATACATGTACATGTTATATGGCTTTAATGACCCTGTGAGTGCAGAAAAATACTTGTTGATCTGCCAGAAATGCATTCAGCATTTTTGTGGACTGTGGACCAAATACTTCAATTGGTATATTTAACAGACTAAAATAGATTAAATAAAAGAAGTTAATTGACAGGTTTTACATACACTTATCTGTGCACTCCTGGCCTTACTGCTCCCATGTGTTTACATTTGCTTATTATCATAGGTGATCATTTTACTCCTTGACAGCTTTTTGATTGTCCTTTCATTCTCTGCTTGAGGTTCAGGCATCAATAATGAAGTATGAATGGGCACTGACACCACTTTCACCTAAGAGAGTAATTAATTCTGTTGTACTAATACACACTAAGTGCAGGAGCACTCTTATGTGACATACTCATGACCAACACAGATACCAAGCTTCTTTTTGGAAAGTATTCATATGGTCTAAGGCAGATTTTGCAGACATGCATTTTGAATATCCCTCAGAGTAACACTGACAATTTTATGAGAACCTCTGCCTATCAATGGTAAAATTCGTCAATGACTGACGTAATTAAAACGGTCATTTCCTAATGACTTCAATCATCCTTTGATCTTTCTTTCCTTTCTCTATCTTTTTTTTTGTCTCAATCTTTCTTCTATGTTTTTGTTTCTCCTTGAATTCCCTACGTACACTAAACTCACTACCCTATGGGATATACTATTGTAATGAGACTCGTGTCTTTAGCATTTTATTACTTTCTTGTTTCTTGTTTTCACCCGATACATGTATACAACACTTCAGTAATATGATTTTTCCAAACATATTTAATCTTACCATTTATAATTATCACACTTGATTTTAACACATGTTTGGCATCGTCTCTATAATTAACATGAAATTGTCACATGCCATGTTTCCTATCTCATTGTGTGCTTTATATATCCCTGTTTTTATTATTCTTTTTAATAATAATAAATACAGAATTAACTACCACATCTGCTAGTTAACATTAACCTTACTTGCAAAGAAAGACGATCAGACTTTCATGGTACCAGAAAATAGTAGGTTTGCTGTTTAAAATCATAATTTTTATTAGTCTAATTGACGTTATGATTCTTTTGTTTCTTTATTTGTACAATTTGTTTACCTCCTTCTGTTTGCTAATTCTTCATTTTGCAACTATCAATACATTCCCAAGGATCTTAAGTGTCAAATATCTATTTACATAGATTTTACTTGCAAAATACTTATGAATATGTATATAGGAATTTAGTGGACTGAGGATAATTCAAAATACACAAAATTCTTATATTCATATTCATAAGCATTTCACAAAATAAAAACTATGTATATGGGTTAGACATGTAAGTTTCGTTTGGAATGCAAATTCGAAGGCATCCGAATGTCTGAATTCCAATGAGGTTGAATGCAAAACGAATCCAAATATTCTTTTCGAATTTCGAATTTCATTCAACATGAAACTAAATCGGACATGTGATTGTTTTCTGGCCAATCAGAAAATCCAGTCTGAAACTAAAACGAAATTCCGAAAGATCCGAAAAAAAAAACCAATCACACCTAGGCGCAATTGTTTTTGTGCATATTAGCGCACGTATTTGTCTTGCGAGTTCAGTGCGTTTTGCACAGTTTTCTGCGTGTTAGATGTGCGCACATGAAGACGTGCAATTTCAGCTGCCAGAGACAATCCGATCAATGGACAAACATGCAAATAAAGCGCACAGTAATGTGCAAAATGCTTGTGTTTCGCATTTCCTGGCGGTCTATGGGGAAAAACGAGTTGCAAACTGCCAAAAGAGCTCATGTACATTTTTCTGCATTCTGCTATTCGCTGTTGGCATCCGACCGCACAGGTGAGAACAGGGGCCATTGAAAATCATGTGAATTCTTGTGTTGGGCAGTTTGTAGCTCATTTGTAACATCTAGAAAATGCCTCCGTGTGAGTGGGGACATAGTGACAATTAGATTTTTGTTTTATTGTACAGCACTAGTTTATATTTATTCATGTTTGGTGGAAAATATACAAAATATATAACAATGATGTTTTAAAAAGTACAAATGCTGTTATCTGGTATCTTAAAAGGGTCATTCTTTGCAACTATTGACTAAAACAATGCAAACAATGAAGATTTACCCTCTGCCGTAACTGCTGACCGCTTCTGCTCGTCCTTCTTTATTTCACCAAGTTTGTAGAGTGATTTCCCTGATGGTGGTGGACTGTGCCTGCATGTCTGATTCCTCTCTAATGTCTATGGGCTGCCTATGGGACATTGAGCTTACTGAAGTCAGAAAATGGGAAAGCAGATTATGATTGTGCTCTGGGCTAATGTGCATTACACATCATTTCGACCAGTACATTTTCATGCTGTGCAGTTGTAAGAGGCATTTTAGATGCATTTTTACAGGCCTTAAATATTCATCACCATGAACTACCTTGCTGGAACTCTCACCAAAAATGAAGCAGGAATTTGTAAATGTTTTTGTTTTTTTTTTCAATTTTTTATTCTATGATTATTATTGCCAGAACTAAAAAAAAAACACAATGTTTTTGAAAGTAGAAACATTGCATATTAATATCATGCAGTCCCCTATATTTTTTTATTTCCCTGAAACATGATTGAGCAAAGTGAACACAGTTTTTAGCGTATTTTCTGGCTCAATAAACATTCTCTTTAATAAGTGAACAGACTCTACCCCTTCAGTAACTTAAAGGGGTTCTAAAGCCTCCCGTTTTTTTGCCTATATCTACTGCTGACAAGCAGTAGATATAGGCAAAAAGTAAAAAAATTAAAATTGCTTAAACAGCGGTTTAGACTGACCTCATTATCGATGCGCGCTCCCGCGGCGAGAGTCCGGAACTGTTCGTGCGGCCGCAAAGGATGTTGGGGCGGGCGCATGCGCAGTTCGGATTCTCGGCCGGGAGACAAGCAGAGACGCAAGGTAAGTCTATGGACGCGTGCACCCGTCTGCAGGCACCGCTGGATCGGAAGTGCCTGTAAGCAGAGAGGAGTCATCGCTGGATCGGAGAGCCGCCGCACCGCTGGAGGGACAATTGAAAACATGGGGAAAGAAGAGGAAGATTGGAATAAAAGACATCAT